GGGGAGGCCGCAAGCTTTCGCCTTTTAGCACGTGCTCTGCGGGGCATTACAGACAAAAAAAGTTTTTTCGTTACAGAAGAGGGATCAAAACGGAAACGCGCACTGAGTAGCACGTATTACTGTTTTTTTACCACGAAAACTGGAAAGCGGTAGTAGGGAAAGGATTCACTACAATGGATTTTTACAAAATACGACTATTTTGCCAGACTGTCAAACAAACTGGGAAAAAAATTTTACCTTATATAGAAAGGCGCCTTTTAAAACGGACTCAATTAAAAAAACAGGCATTAATTACTTAAGAATATCCAGATAAATGCAGAGCTTCACTTATCTTTGAAAGCACGCAGAACGACCGGGTTCGTCCTCCGAAACTTTAAAACCACCGATATTAGAATGCGTCTTTGTAAAATGTGCGTCAGATCTGGTCTGGAGTGTTGTTTGTTTTTATTTTGCCTCATGCGCGCCGCTGATCGGGAGAAAACAGAATTCGTCCAGTAATTTAAAACCAGTAGAGTTTTAACCATAGATTGCCAATACATGACCTACAAGGAACGTCGCGAGCATACAGGTCTTGATCCCTTAAGACTCCGTTGGTTACAAAAAGGACCCTTTTTACTGTTTAAGCTCTAAAACAGTCGTACTTTTAGCCTGCTTACTACTTTAAGGACTATCGATCTCGCCCGACGTAATAGCCACCTTGAGGTCTTTTTGTTTCTTTCTCTGTCACGTTCCTTTAGACATCGTCGTTCCTTCTGTGAACCAACTTGTAATTTGGGACAAATTATCCAGCAGAATTAATTTTTGTCTAAGAGAACCATTGCTAGTTTTTTTTCATATTTTGGGTGCCGATTACACCGATTTAATCTGCCGTAGCGACGAAGTACTTGGTCGCTGATCCCACTCGCTGGTCTCATCTGGAACAGTTTCCTAAGACGCCAGCAAACATCGGTTCTTCATTGCTTCTGTTTGATGCAGCAACGATTTCTTGAGAAGGAATTGAGACTGGAAACATCGTAAGCAGTTTTATTCATCCCTTTCTGGACTACCATCAGCACACCGGCCGCATTCTCTTTTCTCCTGAACCATCAAAACTCCAAAAATACCATCCTCTGTATTTATGCACAAGAGTTTTTTCACGGTTATTCCGGTCCGTGCATTATCTTTCTTTGAAGGTGCTTGTAAACTAATTTCAAGTACAATCGTTATTGTTAGTGTCCGTAGGGGGATTAATTAAAACAAATTTTCTATTTATTCTATAGCGTTTCTTACAGCAGCAAAAATTACAATCCGATAACCATTATGAAAACAGTAGACGCAGGTCTTGCTCTACTGTCTAGAACGCACGACTCAAGCAGATAATACAGACGATCAGGTGCTTGCAGGTCATATCGGCATTAGGAAGGCACTCGATAATATACCAAATGAGCGACTGTTGTACAAACCCAGTCAAGAAGGCGTTGGTGGTAAGCTCTTGATGCGGATTCGTAGCTTCCTAGAGAGTCGCTCTCAATTTGTCGGCGTCGGCGGCCAGGAGTCCGCGAAAGTAGCGGTTGAGAGTGGTGCTACCTAAGGCGGCGTTATTGGCCCTACTACTTTCATCATGAAAGCCAACTACTAGCTTAATGAGCTGGATTTTTATGCCATCGTGTCTTCTGGTGATATAGAGAATAAGAGCGTTATTCAAACTAAAACTGACGAAGAACAATTAAAGACGAACGTAAACCGACAATGGCAATTTTCCAGTCATTGTCTTTGCTCGAATTAATTATTTTAAGCTCTTTCGTTTAAGTTGCAGACAGCTACGAGGTGACATGTTGCGGTCGTTTCACATCTTGCTTGATTAGGATTGCTGTCACCAGCCTCAGTACTTCTTGGGGATACCAAATACAACGCATATACTATCTCATTCCCAAGACTTTGGAAACTTATATCAGGCTGTATTCTTCTCTGCCAGAGAAATCAGAAGTTACAATGTCGACATCAGCAAAGGGTTTTGAGAGAAACCTGAGTCATTATAGTATTACGCACCACATTGCCAAACCGCTTTTCTCGTTTGAACATTTTTTCGAATTTTATGATTATCACAATATAACTGTGCACATTTCAGCAGCGTTCGTGAATGGGATCTTCTTACTATCTGTGACTCATGGCACATTGTAACTGATGTCCACTTTGACGCACGCAGTTAGTTGAGATCCTTTTTCTTCCTTTGTAACGTACTTGTGCTTGAACAGTTCACTTTGCCATGCACACACTGCAAAATATGAATATATATGAGTCTATCTGCCGACATCTGAAGTGGTTCGTCTACCGGCAGTTGCTCGATGTTCCATTCAGTATCAGTATCAGTATATTTCAGGGAAAGTAGGTGTGCACCTTTGAAATCCCTATTGGTTACATGCAGAGGATATATATGGAGGAAATGGAAAGGAAGTAACATGAAAGAAATGCGAGGGGAATAGCAAAAACTGTACAGATGAACACAGAATGTCATGCGTTAACAGAGTTTAGAGGCACATTAACTTGCTTTTTTGGTCAAAATACAGCGGACAGTTGAGGCACACTTAAGACACGGGAAAAGAAGTAAAATTGTTTAGTCTACAGGCATCGTGGTGACTGCGAACAGCGCTGTGCGACGTGGCCGAAGCTTAATAAATAGCATAAACATATATTACTTAAATGTTGGTAGTAGCATCGTTATAACACTAAATTGTCAGCGTTGGCTGTCAAGGTGGCAGTAGTCCGGCGTTATTGTGGTGCGCGCTACAATGCTGATTTAGTCTCCATTTAAAAGTATCTACCGAGCCTGACATAACAAGATCCTCAGGCAAGGCATTCCAAGCTGCAACCACTCTGTTGGAGAAGAAGAACTTTCGGGTGTCTAGCCGGACACCAGCCACACGCAGTTTGAGTGGATGGCCTCTCAGGTTAGTCGTAGTCGCCAACTCGAAGAAGTCTCCAAACGCGAGGCAGCAGCCCTGATTGCGCACGATGCGGAAAACTTGTATCAGGTCCCCACGTAGCTGTCTGTAACTCAAAGGAAAGAGGTCAAGATTAGCTAATCGTGTTTCGTAGGGTAGTGACCACTGCCCAGATACAAGTTTCGTTGCTCGCCGTTGAACTTTTTCGAGTATGCCCAAGTCTTTAGCGGTCCAGGGTCGCCATGCTTGGATAGCAAACTCCAGATGCGGTCGCACAAAAGTTTGAAAGACCTTGGCGAAGCAGTCTTCATCAAAGGAGGAGAACGCCCGTTTGACAAGGTATAGCATGGACATCGCCGACTTGGCCACCTTTGAACATTGCAGCGAAGGCTTAAGCGAGGTTGTGATCCATACACCCAAGTCCTTCTGGGCGTCGACTTCTTGCAGTGGTTTGCCAGTCAGACGGTAGACCGTGTGGTTAGGAGAACTGGTTCTGCCGACGGGTAGGAAAGTACACTTGTTTACGTTGAACGGTAGAAGCCAGTCTTTCGACCATTGCTCGAGGTGGTCCAGACTTGTCTGCAGTCGCGCCTCGTCAACTTCGCTTCGTATGGTACTCCAGATCTTTATGTCGTCGGCAAACATTGCGACATCGCAATTCAGTTCGTTTGCGCAGTCATTGACGTATACAAGGAACAGCGTAGGGCCAAGAACAGAGCCTTGGGGAACACCACCCTTAACGACAACCTCGGCAGACTGTTGGACACCGACGTGGACGGCTTGAGAGCGGCCGATTAAAAAGCTAAGAATCCACATCAGAAGCTTACCCCGCACTCCTGTACGGCTAAGTTTGTATAGAAGGCGGTGGTGAGGCACACTATCGAAGGCCTTTTTAAAGTCGATATAGATAGCATGCACCATATCTCCTCTATCAACAGCCCTAGTCCAGTGTTCCAGACAGTAGAGCAGGTTTGTCACACAGGATCTGCCTTTTCGGAATCCATGCTGAGAATCGGAAGGCAAATGGTTTTGTTCAAGGAACTGCATTAGTTGTTGCTTTATTATCTTC